CGAAAATCACCAAACTTGTTTCAGCTATTGAGTGAGAAGCAGCAGGACAGAATGTGCTGCAGCTGAAGAAGCAGCGCTGTACCCGGTGACTGTGTCCCTGAGAAAGGTGCTTCTGGGGGAGGTGAGTTCAGCGGGGTGGTGGGCCCAGACCATTCCTTCCAGCCTCAGGGCACTGGCTTTTCTTCTTCTTGGAGGAGAAAATGGTTGTCTTTATTTTGTTTTCTGTTTGGTCCCCCACTGCTCTGTGTGTGTGTGTGCTGAGCTGGGACAGGGAGAGCTGAGCACTGGGAAAGGGAGACCTGGAGAGAGGAAGGCATCACGTCTGTTGTCTCCTCGGAGGTCACCCGGTAGGCTGCAGGCTCCTGGGCTTAAGCTGTTTCTGGATTCAGTGTGACTGATGGGAAAATATCGAGTTTTCTGAGCAGATGCCTATCTGCCCTCTGGGGTAGTTTTACTGCTCTGAAGATAAAATAAGTATAGAAGCATTGAAGTAAGGAATTTGCAATAAAATAAGAAAAATGATAAATGGGAGCCATAAGAGAAATGAGAATTATTGGAATGGGTATGAAGAATGGTAAATGTCAAAGCACTTGATAATATTTCTGCTAACAGAGGTTGTGAAGATGGAAGTTTCCATAATACTTCTTTTCCTTTTTTCTTTTTTTTTTTTTTTTTTTTTGCTATTGTCACAAGACCTAGGAGCAAAAGGAATTTGTCACTTTAGTGTTACATTGCATCACAAAGCAAGGCACAAGTACCCTTATATGGCAGTGTGAACACAATAATAAGGTTTTGTTACTTGCAATAAAACTTGAATTGCCACTCTATAAATCATTTATATTTTATATGTAAAAAGCTTTAATGCAATCATTTAATTATTCATTGAAAGGTCATTTTTACAACATTTAATGTACACCTGTTATGTGTAAAGTACTCCACTAGGTACTAGTTATAAAATTAAACATAGCTATTCAACTAGGAACATAAATCACACCCACATGCCATGGAAAGCCTATTATGAAAGCAAGCGAGATACCCATGAAAATGTGGTCTTTGAATTTCCCAGAAATCTCAGCTTGGGTAGCAAAAGCAAGAGTATTTGTTTTAAGCCACTCTGTGTATCCTCTTAAACTGTTAATATGAGGAACAGAGGTTGTGGCCATAATGAAAATAATGAGACACTGAATATACGTGTCTATGACCTAATTGAAGTCTGGTGGTCTAAGTGGCATTTTTATTGACCTATTGAAAACTCTAGGTATTTGCAAACTGTTCAAAAGAGTTAAAAAAAAAAACAAAACAAAAAAAACAGTTTAAAAGTTAGTGCATGTTTGGGTTAATTTGTCCCTCTTTGGATATTGCATATGTCTCTAAGTTCCAGACATGCAGTTAGTATTATAAATTTTCAACAATATTCAATGAAGGGGTAAAAATCCTGTTCTAGCCCATATTTAAAACACCTCAAGAATTTTAATTCATTTTTTATTTCTCTTAGCATATTTATTTTTAATATACCATATTTATTTAAGACTTACCAATGCTTTACTTCAGGAAACATAGTATTGTTCTATAGTCTAGCTGAAGCATGTCAAACTCAAAGGCTAAACACTGGCCAAATAAACAAGGTTTAAGTTTTTATGGGCTGCAAAAAAAACAAAAGCTTCAATTTTCAATAGAAATATAGGTTTATTTCAATAGAGACATGCTGAATACAAAGGGCTGAATTAAATGAGTAAATTGTTAAAACAGAACATTTTAATAAAAATTAATGTTTTTTCTTGAACATTAACTTACCAGACACTGAATAACTGCACAAATAAGCATAACGCAAACAAATATTTTTTTGTACTCCGAAAGTGAAACATTTCTTATTGCGTACACCAAACAGGTCTGTCCAAGATTAATGACGTGGCAATCGGCTGCTAACATATCCACTGCTAGTATTAGTGGAGAGAAATGGTGCACCTGTGCATAAGGCATGTAAGGAAAATGCATACAACATGATTATAATAATCAGTCATTAGTGAACGTTATTGTTCGTTACTCAGAATCCCATCTAATAAAATGGAAATATGGAAATTAACAATCACTCTGTCACAAAGGTGGTGGCACCCATAGCAGCCAGGGCACTGGATACTGGCAGCGTTGCCCTGATGATGAGCCCCAGTGTCCTGCACACCCTGGCCCCGCGGAGGGTGGGTGGGCAGCCTCTCGTAACCACCATACTGTTGTCTGTGCCTATGAATTTGTTTTGTTCATTTGTTGCTTTCTGTTTTATATCCCACATGTGAATGAAATCATATAGTTCTTGCCCTTTTCCTCTGACTTATTTCACTTAGCATGATACCCTCTACAACTATCCTTGTTGTCACAAATAACAATATTTTACTCATTTTTAGGACTGGACTTACTTCTGCCCTTTCACAACCTGCCTCTACTGCTGCTGACGTTGTTGCAGGCCAGGCTGAAGGACCCACACACACACACCCTGTGCATGAATTTCATGCACCGGGCCTCTAGTTATGTATAACAGGATATTGTAAAAATTAAGTTACAAAATTTTATTTAAAACATTTCTTACATACCGTTATATTGACTGAGCCACAAAAATATTTGTTGTGGGCCATATGCAGCCCCCAGGTCACAAAGTGTGACATGCTTGGTCTGACTAGTCTGTCCTGCCAGGTCCTATCAGTTCTTACCTCTCCATAAGCAAATAGTGGTGACAACATATGCAGAAGAGGTTTTCTATGTGACTCCTCTCAGCATCCCTGTACAACACAGATCCTGATGCCAACTGGCCCTCTCCAGTCATGGTCAAATGGAAAAACAAATTTAGTCAGAGTTTAAAAGAGGTGGGAACATCAACCTAGAAATTCTAATGTGGAAAAAGCCTTAAGGTTTCACAATAGGGATTATTTTCTTTGGCAAATACTGCCACATAAACAAATATTCTTGGCTGGCTACTCAATGGGGCAGCACCAGGTTGGCATTTACACTCTGCAGAAAAGGTACCGAAGGAAGAATGGTCTGAATACTTGCTACAAGTCCTACAGATTGACAGTAGCCCATTCTGGGTACACACATGTAATTCATTTATTTGTTGTTACTGCTGTATAAGTAATGCATGCTTCTTGTAGAAAATAGTCAATGAAGAAGAGCAAGAGGAAAAAAAGCACATTATCTGGGCACTGACCATGTTAACATTGACATTATCTCATAATTTTCTAAGTATAGGTATACTAGCATACATCTACATATGTACACATACTATTTTTCTGAATGAACTACAATGGCTCATAATGTTTTTGTACTCAACAAAATACTGAGAATGCCTTTTCATGTTTGTAATTAAATTTATTGGGGTAACATTGGTTAATAACATAGATTTCAAGTGTCCAATTCCATAACACATCATCTGTCTGTTGCATTGTGTGTTCATCTCTCAGTCTATAGTCTCCTTCTGTCACTGTGTACTTGATCCCCTTTACCACCTTCTTCCTCCCTAGCCCCCTTCTCCTCTCGTAACCACCATACTGTTGTCTGGGTTTATGAATTTGTTTTGTTCATTTGTTGCTTTCTGTTTTATATCCCACGTATGAATGAAATCATATAGTCCTTGCCCTTTTCCTCTGACTTATTTCACTTATCATGATACCCTCTACAGCTATCCTTGTTGTCATAAATAGCAATATTTTACTCATTTTTAGGACTGAAGTTACTTCTGCCCTTTCACAACCTGCCTCTACTGCTGGTGCCTCACCCGCTTGCTCTGATATGCCCACCATCAGATGTTTCAGTGTGTGGATCCCTCAGACGTGTTTGTGTGTTGGGCAGGGAATCCTTTGTTGAAGTATAGTTGTCCAACTTGTAACTTTTCAGAGGAGGGTCCAAAAGGTTCTCGCACACTGCCATGATGCTGTTACTCTCTTTTGTGTTTTTAATATATAATAATTCCATAGCATTCCATTTTATAGTTATACCATTATTTAAGTAGCCAGCCCTCCATCTCTTTTTGAATGTACATGCTGTATCAAGTGTTTGTTATAATATTTCTGAAGTGAATGTTCATGTCCATACAGATTGGGATTTACTTCCCTAGTGTCAATTCCTAAAAGTGGCATTGCTGGCCTATAGGATCTGTACAGCTTTAAGTTTTTATACACATCACTAAATTGCCTGCAGAAAAGTTATACTCATTTAAGGCTATTACACCCTGGGCAGTTGAAGACTTTGACTCTAACCTTTGGAGCTGCAATTATGTGTTTACCACATTAATTATCCAGTGACATTTACACTCAGTATTTGACCTTGTTCCTAGGATTGTTTCCGATGATGAACTTGAGCTTGGCCCTGGTATCTGTGTATGGACCTAGAGGTGTTCGTGGTGGATTCACTAAGGCCTTGGAAGCAAATTATTTTGCTCTGTATAGCAAACCTCACCCACTGGGCTTCACTCCCAAAGGCTCAGCATCCAAGAACAGATTGGACTGTCCATGCCTAGCATTCTTTTAATCATGAAGTAACCACCCTCAGTTTGAAATTCTAATCCTAGCACTTATTGCGTCCTTGAATTATGGTCCTTTGCTTGCTTGAGCTTCATCTTCCTCCTCTGTAGACCCTAACTTCCTAGGACTGTAATGAGTAGAAATGAAGTGTTTAAAGCAACTAAGGGCAGCCCCCAGAACCATGGAGGTCCTCAGTAAACGTTGGGTGAATTAATGAACTCACACCCTAAAGAGCTGACTTGGACTTAGTGGATTTTTCATGGGTTCTGTTTGCTCATTGTACTTAATCACTATCTGATATTATGTTTTATAATTTTCTACCTTATTTTCTGTCTCTCCATGAGCACAACACCTGTGGAGAATAATCTCTGGCACACAACATGGTGAATACTTATGGTTCCAGTGTCCCAGCTTTGGGACCTGGAAGCCCTTCAGCACAGAACCGCCCTGCCCCCCTTATCTCATTATTTACTGACCTGTGCTTGGTTCCAGCCATCCTACGTTACCTGAAGAATGACGGGAAGATCCATTTGGTGGTTTTCAACAACCTGCAGCTAGCTGATGGCAAGCGGCACAGGGTCCTACTGAGACTGAGCAATTTGCAGCGAGGGGCTGGCTCCATAGAGCTCTATGTGGACTGCACCCAAGTGGATTCTGTTCACAATCTCCCCAGAGCCTTCTCTGGCCTCACCCAGAGTCCTGCGTCCATTGAATTGAGGACTTTCCAGAGGAGGGCACAGGTAGGGACCCACAAAGCGAAGTGGAAAGATGAGCTGCTGAGGCTCGGGGGACGCAGAGGTGTGTGCGGAGGTTATGAGTAGGTCTAATTCTGCCTGCATAGTAGAATCACCTACCAAATTTGATAAGCCACATATAGAGGGCCAGTCCCGAAGATGAACTGAATCAAAATCTATAGGGGTGATGCCTAAGCAACAGTGTTTTTTTTAAATACTGATTTTAATGTGAAGTCAAAATTGAGAACTTCTGCCCTGGCCAGTGTGGCTCCATTGGTTGGGCATGGTTCCCCACACTGAAAGGTTGTGGGTTCAAGTCCCAGTTAGGGCACATACCTTGGTTGTGAAAATGTTTCTTTCTCTCTCTCTTCCTCCCCCTTCCTCTCACTCTGATATCAATATATGTCCTTGGGTGAGGATGTGAAAATAAAATTTTTTAAAAATTTGAGAATTGCTTTGATGATAAACAGAGACTTTTGGGATACAATTTTCAAGTTGGAAATAAATTACAAAAATGTAAAGACAATCTTAGGATAGTCTATTTTTAATTTTTCTATAGTTATTATTTTTATCAATTTTTTAAAAGAATGCTTGAAAAATACCAAGAAATAGTAACAATTTTCATAAGATCTTATCAGAACATCCCTAACAGGATCTTATTGTCAACTTAGTTCCAAGTGCCCTTAAAAATTCCATCTCCTCTGTCTTCTTCTTCTTTTCTTTTTTTTTAATATATTTTATTGATTTTTTTAGAGAGAGGAAGAGAGAGGGACAGAGAGTTAGAAACATCGATGAGAGAGAGTCATCAATCAGCTGACTCTTGCACACCTCCCACTGGGGATGTGCCCGCAACCAAGGTACATGCCCTTGACCAGAATTGAACCTGGGACCTTTCAGTCCACAGGCCGATGCTCTATCTACTGAGCCAAACCGGTTTCGGCCCGTCTTCTTTTTTATGCCACGATGATGGTAATATTTTTCATTGTATCACTGCACCTACTACAGAAATTGCCACATGTATTTATTTTAGAATTGCGTGCTAGGAAATAGTTACTTTCCTATAAAGAACTACTATGCTTTGTCCTTTCCATTAGTTATAACTCTAACTGGTCATCGTTCCTGAATTTTATCTGATCTGAAAGTCAGTGCCAAAATCAGTAACTATGTTCATCTGTTGTGGCCCATAATATTGTTGTCATCCTCTAGCTCTCAAGTCTCATTTTCCATTTCTATTTTATTGCATGTGCTTTAGTTACAAGCTGCACTGAACCCTTTGAACAAAGAGGCAGGGGCAGGGTGTAAGCAATAATTTCCATTACAGCTAAGAATACTGAAACGTTTTAGATAATATTTTTTAAAAACTATAAATCTGATATTAGAATTTTGTGCTTTAAAAATAGGAATCATTTTAAAGCAGAAACTCCCAAGAAAATTAAAATCCATGTGGTTTTTTATTATGTTTTTTAGAGATACATATAACTCTATGCATATATTTTTAGTGTAGATTTATATAAGAGAAAAAAATGAATACTAAACTTTATTTCTGAACTCCCTAAATAGCCAAAATCAGAATGAAAGAAATTGTGTCACTGACCATTTCAGAAATTAGTGTCTACCATCAAACAAGTCAAATTTCTAAAAGCCAGGAGTCAGCCATGACAAGGTCATCAGAAACTATGCTTATTGGAAACTTCTCAGAAGCCCTAGCTCCTTAGACTATCAGCAGGGTCCCTAGGGCTCTATCTTTAGTCATCTACTCCTTCATTCAGTCAGTCAACAAATAGGCACATTCTAGGCCACTAGTCCAAAACAGTGGTACTTCTGCCTCCTCTGACCTTATAGTCCAACTAGGGGCCCAGTACACACATTCACGCACCTTGAAAGGAACTGTGGGCCGCAAGGCTATGGTAAGCACAGGGGTGGGTCTCGGGCCATCCCCTCACCCTGCCTGGTCCTTCCCACCGCAGCCCTGATCCCACCACTACCACTCCCACGTGTTGATGGTGTCAGCCCACTTGCACCCACTGAAGGTGCAGAGTGATTGGGGCCGGCGCCAGCACTGGGTGCGAGTGGGGCTGGCACTGTCAGAGGGTGCGCATGGCAGCTGCTGCCCTGATCACCCCTCAGAAGCTGGGAGAGGTGGAGAAGCCCTCAGGGGTGACCAGGGCCAGCAGCCACCACTCACACCTGCTGATGATGCCAAGAGATGGGGACTGGTGCTGGGCACCAGCAGCAAGTGCGAGCGGGGCCAGAGCTGACAATGGTTGCGAGCAGCAGCTTTGGCACTGGCAGCAGGTGCAAGCAGGCAGCAGGTGTGAGAGGTGGCTGCCAGCCCCGACCATGCCTTAGGATCAGGGGGAAGTGGAGAAGCCCTGAGGGACAGTGCCAAGCGATTGGGGCAGTGCTGGCAGCAGGTGAGAGCACTGGGCGGATCCATAGCCTGCACAAGCAAAGAATTTTCAGTAACCACTAGAGGCTCACCCTGATGACAGCAACTGGCACCCTGCCTTGGTCTGGCACCCCTACCCCCTCACCTGCTCCACCATCCTGCCATGGTCAACACCTGCCATGTTCCACACACACCCCCTGGTGGTAAGAGCACATCATAGCAACCAGTTGTTCAGTTGTTCCACCATTTGGTCTATTTGCATATTAGCCTTTTATTATTATAGGCTGTCCAACACACTACCTGTTGCAGAGCACATGTTGAATATATCTTAACTTAGCTTTGAAAAGTAAAATTCCCCTGCAAATTCTTAGCATTTTAAAATAAAAAATGGTAACTTTACATTTGCAGATAACATAACATTTCTCTGTCATATACAGATATAATAATGGATTTGATGAGTCACAAAATAAAGGGGTGAGGAAACTGGCTTTGTGACTAACAATGAATGATTGACATGAACCAGTAAAGTGATAATATGATGCCATCTACCTAATAATCATAGAATATACCGAATATTCAGTGATAATATGATGCCATCTACCTAATAATCATAGAATATACTGTTTATTCATTCTCAAAATCCAAGACATTTCTAAAACCTGAAGCGAGGGCATCCTAAAAGCAATACTCTTTAAAACCAGAATGAATGAGTAGAATATTTATTGCAGTCTAAATTTCATAAACAAATTCCAGATAATTCTTAAGCGGTTCCTCAAAATAACTGTTAACCATGAAGGAAAAAAACCTGTCTTCTCCTCAGAGCCACTTTCATGAACTCTGAGGCCAAGTTGAATGTCAGCGTTTTCCTCGGCTCCTGGCTGAAGTTCAGAGTTGCTTCAGTGAGAAGGATAGGGCTGGCAGGCTTTAGGAAAAAATGCAAACCTACAACATTACATAAGGCGTCAGGGTCCAAGTTTACAGGGCTAGTCTGTTCTGAAAGATGTGTGATTACGCAGACACATTGGCTTTGGGTGCCTGAGCACTGTGTGGTATGAATCTGGTTTTTCTCCAGGACTTCTTGGAAGAGCTGAAGCTGGTGGTGAGAGGCTCGCTGTTCCAGGTGGCCAGCCTGCAAGACTGCTTCCTGCAGCAGAGCGAGCCGCTGGCCACCACAAGCTCAGGTGTGGGCCCTCGGGCACTTTGCATGCCTTCTTCAACACAGCAAGCCCCCAGGCCCCTGGATGGGCTGGGTCCCATCACCAAAGGGTGGGCTGTCCACAAAGCGGTCCTACGGGAGGGATCTCCAGACATCAGGCTCTTATGCCAAAATCCAGGGCAAGGAATATTTTCAATCCCCTTTTTATTTTTATTATTTTTATTTTTATGTTTATTTTTATAACACACATGGATTTTTGAAGTCTCCAGTGGTATCATGACCATTATTTTGGGGATGAACTACACCAAGTTAAATTCCTATGCCCTAGAATTTTGTCACAATTATTCTCTGGGAGATCATTTGCTTCGAGTGCCTGTAGAAATGGCTGTTACTGGCTGAATGCTCCTTACCTTTTGTCGTTGCTCTAGGAGACTTTAATCGACAGTTCTTGGGGCAAATGACACAACTGAACCAGCTACTGGGAGAGGTGAAGGATCTTCTTAGACAGCAGGTAACAACCAGGACTTACCATGAGAACAGCCCCGAGAAGCTCTGTGCGTGGGCTCGTGGAGCAGCAGGCCTACAGCACGGCCCGCGCAGCCCTCCCTCTGCGGACTCTTGACGCAAAGACTCTGGAAATGGGGGACAACCATGTGAAAAACACACCGGGGCTCCAGGCAGAGGGGGTGCCAGCAAGGCTTACTTTAGAACTACTTTAAGAAGTATTTAATAGCTTGCTACACATAGATTCTTTCATTCCTGGACTGTGTATCAGGTGCTCCTTTTCAATCTTTTTTTTTTTCCCCCTCTTTCCTTTTCTAAAGGTCAAGGAAACATCATTTTTGCGAAACACCATCGCTGAGTGCCAGGCTTGCGGTAAGTGCTCTTCTAGTAACTGGCTCATTCTGAGCTGGACAAGCAGATGCAGATTGATGAAGGGCCCGGGCCGGGGTGAGGCAACATTGGCTGCAGTTTCTGGAGGTTTGGCACAGAGGCGGAGGGAAGAGGACTTCATTGAAAAACCAAATTTTACTTAGTGTCGTTACGTTCCCTCGTGGTGAATAAGCCTATTGTTTTTCTCCTAGGTCCTCTTAGCTTTCAGTCTCCAACCCCAAGCACACTGGTGCCCCAGGCCCCCCCTGCACCCCCAGCCCCCCCAGTGCGCCTGTGTGACGCCAACTCGTGTTTCCGAGGAGTCCGATGCACCAACACCAGAGATGGCTTTCAGTGCGGGCCCTGCCCCGAGGGCTACACCGGCAATGGGATCACCTGCACTGACATTGATGAGGTAAGAGTTCAAGGGGACAGGAGAGAGGCCCCTAAATATCTTGCACCCCACACAGCTAATGGAAAAAGAGGCCAGGCTGATGACTAACGGATGACTTGGGTTGTCCTCCCAAGGCTACTTAAAAACTACTTCCTGATGAGTCCTTGGAGACCATGAGGCACTGTGAGCAGTGGGAGGAAGGAGGCATGACACATGGTTGTGGCTGTGTTCGTAATCTCTCTGTGTCTCCCATTCTTCTACTTGTCTGTGTTGCTGCAATCTGGAGATTTCAGCTTTATACTCTAACACCGATTGTTTTTCTTAAGCAGTTCGTGTTATACTTGTGATTTTTTTTTCTACACTTTTGCAAATGTGGGAGGGGCGAGATCTGTGTAAGGGTATATTCCAGAGGTTGCAACTGATTTCTTCAAGCTTCCTAAAATAGAAAACGAGACCTGTTGAGGCCCCATAACCTGCGAGTAACCAAAGTGTCAGGGATGGAGCCAGAAAGACCCACACAACAAATACAGGCTGGTTGCATGGCTGCCAAATATGCCGATGTAGGCTGTTTCAAGGTCATGGCTAGCCAACCAGTAGTCTAGTCCCCAAGTAGTGCTCATAGTAGGTAGCAAGGCTGCCATCAGAATGTGCCTTTCCCTTCCCAGCCAGCCAGAGGAAGGTCAGAAGGAGAAATGGAGGGGGTGAGGTACATGCAAGGACCTTAGACACACACACACACACACACACACACACACACACACACACCACCATCACCACCACCACCACCACCACCACCACCACCCCCTTGTAGGTTTGTGGTAGCGCTCCACTGATTAACGCTCTAGGTAGTAAGAAATTAAGATGGTCTCTAGTAATCCCTCAATTGCAGAAACATCTGTACACATTTCACAGAACTCCATCTGGTTTCTATCTGTGAGCTGGAATTTTTCTCCTTTTGAAAGGGCCAGAAGTGGTCGTGTTTTTTACATTAGTTGAACTGGTTTAAAAAAAAAAAAAAAAAAAAAATCTCCTAGAGACTCCAAGGGCCTCGCAGCTGCCATGGGCTTGCTAGGGCGCAGAGGCAGGCCCAGACTCTGGTGGATCACATCTAACTGAGGAAACAATTGCCCTCGCTTTGTGTTTTTCAAGGTCTTTTCTCTTGAGTAGTTGGTTCAGTAACGCCTTTGGGCCCACCTAACAGCCAGCCATCAAGTGGCCTGAGAGCGCTGTCCTTTCATTGATCTCTAAATTCCAAGTTAGATATCAGGGACTGGACCCTGGGAAGTGAAGGGATTAACATTAAGACCCTTTCCGCTTGGCTGTGCATTATTCTGTCATCCAGCAAAGCAACTCCAGATTGTGTTGGTCAGAGATTTCCTAGGGTAATTAGGACATTGGAAGCCTTTATTTCCTTTTACCATTCTGATCACCAAAAACTGACAGTTAAATGAATAAATGAGCTGTGTGGGTAGATAAATGAAAGTGTGAGAGTGTTTTCTCCAGCAGACTAATGACTTTGAATTTTTTTTCTCTCTCCAGTGCAGATACCATCCCTGCTACCCCGGTGTGCGCTGCGTGAACTTAGCTCCCGGCTTCCGATGTGACCCCTGCCCAGTGGGCTTCACAGGGTCCCCGGTGCAGGGTGTGGGGATCAGCTTTGCTAAGTCAAATAAACAGGTGGGCTGATGTTCGTTTTTTATTTAATTGCCAACCAAGAAGCTCCGGTTGGTTCATACCTCTTTCCTTTACCTCCCTGAGCAGCCAATGCCATGTCGAATCTCATGGGGCCAGTGAGCAAAGTAGGTGTTTACCAACTCATTTCTGAGTAAATGTTTGTAAAGTTTAGTAGGGAGGAAACTCTTAAATTGGGATGACAGAGCATCACTAGAGAAACACTGAATGAGGTAGCTCTGAAGATGACCATGATCAGAAGCTGTTTTAGAGATGAGAGGATTTCAAGAGTAGAAATAATTCCCTAAGGAAATCCACCGCCCATCTCCACCCCCCAACCCCCCGGCTTCTTCTTATATAAGCTGTAAATTGCCGTGAGCATTTGAGTACTTTGTGACAATCTCCATTTATTTCTAGATGCTCTATATCCTGGTCATTATTTAACTGGCTGACTGTGAAATTCTTTTTGATGTTTTCAGTCCTTAAAAATGGTTGGTCTATAAATATATTTTACTACCTTAGGGAAGTTATTAGCCTTAAAGAAGGGCAGGTTCATTATCTCCTAGCTGCCTATCAAGAGATTCCAGAGGACATCGTTTTTTTAGAGAAGAAAAAGGAGGCAAGCTAGTCAGATAGGAATGACAACAAGCCATTAGAGTAATGACTCGAAGTTTTCCTCCAAAGACAAAATCTCCAGGACTAAACCAAGTAAGATAGACAAAAAGAAATAGAAGGTGCTTTATGTAAGTTATTCAGGAGCCCTTCCCAGCAGATTTCCAGCAAGGTGGTAGATTGAACTAAGTAGAAGGGAGTCACCTTGATAAAATTTAACAAGGAATTTTAATGCATCACCAATATCAAAAGAAGTGAGAAGAAATGTTTCAGGTTTTGGAAACAAAGGGAACTCAAAACCAGAGCTATGGATGGAAGCTAATGTCACACCAGCTCATGGGAGGTGGCACTAGGTAGAGGTCCCGGGGTGAGGTCTGGGGTTTTAGCACCTACAAGAGGACAGCAGATGCAGCCTTGAGCCAGAGGAAGATCTAACCACCCTGAGCAAAGCCAGGAGCCTCAGAGAGCTATGTTCACCATTACACAGAGATGAGAAAACTTCCCAAGCCCCCAACATCAACAAGGAAGCCTGATGGCAGTTTGGGGACAAGGTTAACACAGATGAAAACTGTCCACCACAAATCAAAGCTCCAAGCTTATATCACATGCAGTTGTGAGCTCCAAAAATTCTCAGGTAGAAGTACATTGAGTCTCAAGCAGGAGAAAGGAAAAACTTTCTGGCTAAAAGGGTTGTGGGACAGATTAATCAAACAAGTTGTCTTTTCTGGACCACTTTAAATACAAAGTAGGCAACTATCACTTGAAATTAGGTTAAGTACAGACTGATGCAAACACAGGGAGATGGCTAAAATGACACCCTGATTTCCATTCTGCCTGAAATTTCCTGTCTTCACTTCAGGCAAGTATCAAAACACAGCAAAATTTATTTGCATTTCTACTTTAACGAATGTCTCTTTAAATCCTTCTGCACTAGGTCTGCACTGATATTGATGAGTGTCGAAATGGAGCATGTGTTCTCAACTCTATATGCACTAACACTCTGGTAAGTATTTCTCATGGTTGATGTGATCAAAACAGACCAGTTACTAAACCAAGTGTATATTTATAAATCTAACCTCAAACACACATAGAACATATGGGCATAACTTATTTGATTGGCGAATGAATTTGTGCTGCAAAACAGTTTTCAATATGTAAAGTAATTTTATAAGTATAGTTTTATGACTGCCAAACTTATTTATTTACTCTCCTGCCAAAGTTTCAGTGTTGGTTTTTAGATAAATACTAGAGGCCCGGTGCACAAAATTTGTGTATGGGGGAGGAGGGTGTATCCCTCAGCCCACCCTGCACCCTCTCCAATCTGGAACCCTTCCAGGGATGTCCAACTGACTATTTAGGCCCAATCCTATCACAATCCAGGACTGCTGGCTCCCAACTGCTCACCTGCCTGCCTTCCTGATTGCCCCTAACCGCTTCTGCCTGCCAGCCTGATAACCCCCTAACCACTCCCCTACCAGCCTGATTGATGCCTAACTGCTCCCCTGCCAGCCTGATTGCCCCTAACTGCCCTCCTCTGCAGGCCTGGTCTCCCCCAACTGCTCTCTCCTGCTGGCCTGGGGCCCCCACCCCAACTGCCCTTTCCTGCAGGCCCAGTCACCCCCAACTTCCCTCCTCTACCAGCCTGGTCCCTCTCAACTGCCCTCCCCTGCTGGCCATCTTGTGGAGGCCATCTTGTGTCCACATGGAGGCAGCCATCTAGTGTGTTGGAGTGATGGTCAATTTGCATATTACTATTTTATTAGATAGGATAGAGGCCTGGTGCACAGGTGGGGGGCAGCTAGTTTGCCCTGAAGGGTGTCCCAGATCAGGGTGGGGGTTCCCTTGGGGCATGGGGTGGCCTGGGTGAAGGGACCTATGGTGGTTTGCAGGCCAGTCATGCCTCCCAGTGACCCAAGTAGAGGTCCTGGTATCTGGGATTTATTTATCTTCTATAATTGAAACTTTGTAGCCTTATAGCAGAGGCCAGGGCTAGCCAGGGCAGGCAGAAAGCTAGGCTTCCTCCATTGCCAGAGAAACTCAAGCATCCTGCTCACTCCGTGGCTGCAGCCATTTTTGTTGGGATTTATTTATCTTCTATAATTGAAACTTTGTAGCCTTGAGTGGAGTCCAGGGCCAGCCAGGGTGTGTGGGAAGCTTGGCTTCCTCCATTGCCGGGGAAACCCAAGCCTCCTAGTTGCTCCATGGCTGCAGCCACCTTGGTTGGGTTAATTTGCATACCCACTACTGATTGGTTGGTAGGTGTGGCTTGTATGTATAGTGAAGTATGGTCAATTTGCATATTACTGTTTTATTAGATAGTATGATGACAAATATTATCCTTTTTGTATTTTAAAAGAATGAAGACCTTGGGTCATTTCAAAGAGAGCTTATGGAACTAAAACCAGGAGCTCTTAATGCTGTGACCTAAAATTGAAGTTCTCCATAGGATGTAATAGACACTCTCAATAGTGTCTATTTTGTCCTGAAGAGATATATGATTTCACTACTCATATTAGTGATTGGTGAGATGGGAAAGTAAATAAATTTTCCAAGTTTAAAAAAAAGAATGAAGACCGTCTTAGTTTATATTAATAGAATTAATAAACAGAATACGAATTTTATTGGTGATGACACAGTAAATTGTATTCATTATTCCCATAAAACTTTGAAATTAATTTGTATTAAATTAAAATGCTCAGCATTTAGATAGTTTAAACTATGAATCTTCATCCCAGGCAAACCTCTTGACCCTTGGCCCCAAAGCTCCCTTTTCTCTGATTCTTAGTAAGCCAAAGTGGCCCAGCCTAGGCTCATTTCCCCACCTACTCCCTCTCCTGTGCTCCTCCTATCCTAGCCCTTCCTTGTTTCACTGTCCCCAGTTTTAATAAACTGTCCTCTAAGAATAAAATAATAATAAAATAACATTTAAAACTTCAGATACGGGTTTTATTTCTGAAAGTTTCTATCAAATGTTTCCAAAATGATTGGTGTAGCAACTAGATTGTCAATGAAAGAACTGCCAAATCCATTTATGATGGCTCCTAACTTACTGTATGTCCCTGGGAAAAGTCATTTAATCTCTAGATTCCTATTTTCCTTGTATGTAAAAAAGCATTTTTAAAATGCCAATCCTTTATTTTAATCCTCACAGCAACCCTGTCAACAGGCACTATTGTCATCCCCATTTTATAGCTGAAAAAACTGAAGCACAGAGAGGTGAGGGGATTGGGCTAAGGCCACACGTGTCACAAGACTTCCCATGTGGCTGCACAGTCTGTGTTCTTACCCACAGACTCTCCTGCCTAGGAGGTCACAGGGACTGATAGCTTTTTACCGGGACACCAGTAGTCTGCACAAATAAATTTGGGAGACGTTGACAATAAGGTAATAACTAAAGCCACCAGGGAGAAGGAAAGTAGACAGTGGGACTGTCTAGAAACTCCGAGAGCCTCAGAAGATGAAGGAGCAGGCATAGAAAAAAGCAGAAGCAGAGAAAGGAGAGAACGGACCAAACGAGGCTGGCGATCAAGGAAGAGCACTGAAGCACATCCTCTGAACTTGGCAATTCAGGGTTGTTCGTCATTAAAACCATTGTGAACTTTATGTGGCCCTCTTTCATAATATGTAAATTTATCTCAGTAAAGATTAAAAAAAAAAAAGTTGCTTCTGGTTCTAGACATGCCATTGCAACGGAGCCAACAGCTCACTTGTAGGTTTCTCCCATAGCAGCCTACCTCATCACAATTGTCAGTGCGAGGCCACCAACATTTCTCTGGACCCTGTTCCTTTGTCATTAGTTGAAAAAAAAAAAAAAAGTGGGAGGAACAGTAAAAGAAAAATATTTTAACCTGTGTTTTAATCAAACCATCTCCCTTGTCCCAGAGCAAACTGTCTAACTTTACTCCCAGAACACGATGGGAGCTTTCCGCCCTTCTCCCTCACCCTCAGTGGAGGGTGGGCAGTCAGAGGGGAGGGTCACTGCTTAGCCCTCTGCCTCCTGTTCTCCTGTCCTTTCAGGCCTACATGGCCTGCTGCTGCTTCCCACCTGGTGGCGTCTTCCCCAGGATCCCCACCATCTTATAAGACATACATGTAAGCAGGGAGCCGGCATGGGCCTCACTTAATCCAGGCACCACTGAGTACACATGAAAGTAAACACCGTCACAGAACCTCTTTGCTCACAGTTCTGAGCTCCTGGTTTAGCATCTTCTCTTTGCTCCTTTCAGGGTTCTTATCGCTGTGGGCCTTGTAAACCCGGATACACAGGTGATCAGACGAGGGGCTGCAAACCTGAGCGGAACTGCAGAAACCCGGAACTGAATCCTTGCAGTGTGAACGCGCAGTGCATCGAGGAGAGGCAGGGGGATGTGACGTGCGTGGTGAGTTGTGTGTCACTTGCTTTACCGTGTCACCTTCCTCCATTTTAAACCCCCACCCAGAGTTTAAAACCATCTGTCATTCTACTTGCTTCAGGGCAAAAGTACTCAAACATGGAAACATTTCCACCAAGATAGACTGTAACAGCAGGAGGGTCAGCTGAGTTTGTGGGGAGCAATAGGAAGGTCCCTTAACCAGCAGCTGCATCTTCTCTCCCTGTTGGCCGTGGGTGGACACTGCCCCTTGGGCAGCTCAGGGGTGGAGCCCCCGCTCCCAAGCGCCTTTGGTGAAAGGCCTGAGAAATGTGCAGCAGGAGGCCAAGAAGCCTCCTTCCCTCCCTCCTATCTACTGTCCTAGTGATTTATTTGTATAACTTATATAACTTGAGGAGGAAGGCTTGTTCCTATCATCCAGTTCCAAGCCTCAGGCTCCAGAGTGTTGGGGATTCTAGGCACCAAGACATCCACCATGTGCAGCCGCTCACCTCCTCCTCCCGTTGCATCGAGCCAGGCCCTGGCAGGCGACCCTGAGTCTGACACTCACAGGTTCAAAGGGAGCATGTCCGAGTGGCTTCCCGGAGACCTCTTCCCTCTTCTCTGCACCTCACACTTGGACTTCCTTAAGCCCCCAACATTGTCTTCCATGAGCATATCCCTTTTCAAATGGGAGATATGAAAAGATTCAAAACTAAGTTGAAGTAAATATGATGCTATCAGCTCTCTCTGGCAATACAGAGTGCTGATGAAGGAACCAGCCAGGTCAGGGGGGACAGCCGGTTTCCCCAGTTCCCACTGGCTGGGCACATTTATCACCATCGAGAGGGAAGTGTATATCTATATTTAAATCCTAGTTTTCTGCGAACAAATTAACAATTTCCCTGGGATGGTGGGTGATCGGGCTCTTAATATGTTTTTGAATTTGTAATAAGGCGCAATGACAGATGGTAAAAGATTAATACACTTGGTGTGACTACTAAAATAATTTAATCTGCCAGAAAACAGCTCATTAAAAATGTATTTGTTCCTAGAGGAGATTTTTTTCTTCATTAAAATGAGTCAAGGTCCATACCCCATAGCTGAGCTTCTCAGGCCTTCTGAAGGCTCCGCGGAGGCATCTGAGCAGACTGGGGGAGTGCAGGAGGGGGTTTGGAAGCCTGCCTTAAATCTTTGGTCGCAGAAGGCGAGTGCAAATGATTGGGAATGGGCAGGCTGCCGCTTGGGAAGTCACTGGTCTCAAATCACCTTATTTTGATCAGCGAGGCCAGGAAATGTGGCATTTACTCCTGTGAGGTTTCTTTTCCCTTGGCCCTGAAGCTGTTCCTCAGACTCCTTCTCCTCTTCCTGCCCTTCCAGCTCCTGGGGGTTTTCCAGGCCCCGTCTCCCATGTTCTTCTGTCTGCCCCTCCCAGGGGCACCCAGCCTGCCCCTGAGCTGAGCTCCCAGGTACCATCTCATCCCCAGGACACCACTTATGGGATGATTTCTGCTCTCCTTGGTTTGACTATGGACTATCAGAGGAAGAACTCAAAGTGGCCGTTAACCAGATATCCTAGTACATGGCAGAAGACCCCGGGCTTGGGTTCAAGTCCCAGCTCTGAGGCCCTGAGCAAGGGACCTACTCACTCGGAGCCTGGTTGCTGCTTGTGTAAATGGAATAACAGGGACCTTGCAGCAACACAGTAACAATTGGAGACAGTGGCTGTAGCGTCTGGTGTGGAAGGACTGGTGTTTTATTGCCTGTTCTGCTGACAGTGAGGCTTGCTCTCGGTGGCTAGTGGTGGCCAGATACTTGGGTAGACTTTTCCAGGGAAGTAGTGAGCAGCACACAGACCCAGCACTGTGCCTCTGGACACCGGCTCCTGGTAAAGGGGATAAGTAGAGGTCAATCACCTTAGGAGGGTGGTCCTCTGGTGGAAATTGACCTGGAAAACTGTTAGACTCAGAGAGATGACTGTGGCTCAAGAATGATAAGGAAAGTGCCACGTTTCCCCAGGGAAAAGAAATTGGACAATCGTATGGAGAACTTTTTACAGTAATTCAAAATTACAAACACCTTGAACCAGGAATTTCACACTAAGAAACCAATGTAGAATAGCACACATACTAGAGTTATTTGTTGCAGCATAGTTTTTCATCTAAAAAGTGTTTAAAACCTAACACTCACCAGAAGAGCACTGGTTGAATTCATTGAAGTACGTACATACCACCTTGTGTATGATATATCTGTTGCCATTTTTAAAAAAGACAACTCTAGCCAAAACCGGTTTGGCTCAGTGGTAGAGCGTCAGTCTTCGGACTGAAAGATCCCATGTTCGATTCCGGTCAAGGGCATGTACATTGGTTGCGGAAACATCCCCAGTAGTGGGTGTGCAAGAAGCAGCTGGTCGATGTTTCTCTCTCATTGACATTTCTAGCTCTCTATCTCTCTCCCTTCCTCTCTGTAAAAAATCAATAAAATATATTTAAAAAAAAAAAAAAAAGACAACTCTACATGAAGTGGTTTAGAAAGAGCTCCAAGGTACAATGTTAACTTCTAAAATATCAAGATGGCATATATATGTATTGGCTACCAATTGTGTGAGGATAGAGGAAAAGAATGATGTGCATTTGCTTGTCTGTGCGTAGCCTGTCTCTCTGCGTGCGCCTGGGAACTGATTACCTTGCTTGCCTGAGCTAAGGGAACAGGAGTGAAGAGTCACACTGTTGAAGTTTGAACCATTAGATTATTGAAAAAAACAATCCTTTTAAAGTCCTTCCCAACAAGGCTGTCTGGCTCTGGGCCCCCCCTCCGGAGACGTGCACACAGGAGCAGAGGCTCTTGGCAGCCACCAGCCTCCCTCCAGGCTCCGCTCCCCAGGCCTCTGACAGGCTTTCCCTTCACAGTGCGGAGTCGGATGGGCTGGCGATGGCTATTTCTGTGGAAAGGATGTGGACATTGACAGTTACCCAGACGAAGAACTGCCATGCTCTTCAAGGAACTGCAAGAAGGTATGGGGCGGGGGGTGGGGGAGAGTAGGAAATTAACTCACTCTCTCTCTCTCTCTCTCTCTCTCTCTCTCTCTCTCTCTCTCACACACACACACACACACACACACACACACACACACACACACTGTGGCTTTCTGAAGTCCTAACTGAAACGGGAGAGGTTCTGTAGGTTCCACTGAAATTTGCATTTTTAGAAGGGCTGCTGCTTAACTAGCAAAACAGCGATCAGTATGCTGAAACTGGTTTGGCTCAGTGGATAGAGCGTCGGCCTGTGGACTCAAGGGTCCCAGGTTTGATTCTGGTCAAGGGCACATTCCCAGTGGGGGATGTGCAGAGGCAGCTGATCAATGTTTCTCTCTCATCAATGTTTCCGGCTTTCTATCCCTCTCCCTTCCTCTCTGTAAAAAATCAATAAAATATATATATTTTTAAAAACAGCAATCAGTAATAAAGTCAGGCAGCCACAGTTGTCCTGAGGTTTAGTTTAAAACAAATGTAGACAGGTGGTGTGGGAAACAGGGAGAAGCTGGTAAAAGGGTTAACCAACTGGTTATAACCAAGGGTTATAAACTTCAGTTATAAAATAAATAAGGTCAGAGGATCTAAGGTTTAACATGGTGACTATAGTTGATCACACTATTATAGAGTTGAAATTTGCTAGGAGAGTAGAACTTAAATGTTCTCAGCAAAAGAAAAGGGAAATATGTGAGGTGATGGATCTGTTAGTTAACTCAGTGGGAGAATCCTTTCACAATATGAATGAATGCAAATTGTCACATTGTACACTTCAAATAGCTTCAATGTTGTCAATTATTCCTCAATAAAGCTTGAAAAAAAGACATATGTATATCCCAAGAAGCTAGAAACATCAATCAGAAAGGATATATGCACCCCTATGTTCATAGCAGCACAATTTACAATAGCTAGGATTTGGAAACAGCCTAGGTGCTCATCAGCAGATGATTGGATCCAAAAACTATGGTACATTTACCCAATGGAATATTATGCTGCCATAAAAAAGAAAAAAATTCTCGTTTGCAGCAACCTGGATGGAATTGGAGAACATCATGCTGAGTGAAACAAGCCAGTCAATGAAAGAGAGATACCACATGACCTCACTTATTTATGGATGATAAAGAACATTATAAACTGAAGAACCAAAAGATATAGAGACAGTAAAGCAACAGCAGACTGTCAAATTATAGCTGGGAGGTTGGGGAGATCTGAGGGAGATAAGAGATCAACCGAAGGACTTGTATACATGCATATAAGTACAACCAATGGACACAAAACTCTGGGGAAGGAGGGTATGTACGGGAGGGGGGGGGCATTGGTATATGTACAAAAATAATTTAAAATATATATTAAAAAAAAGAGAGAAAAAGAGAAAAGACATATGTAGATGTCTCTCTGAGCTGTGTTTCCCCCTCAGGACAACTGCAAGTACGTGCCAAACTCTGGCCAAGAAGACGCAGACGGAGATGGCATTGGCGATGCTTGTGATGAGGATGCTGACGGCGACGGGATCCTAAATGAGCAGGTACCTGCTTTGAGGGGAGGGCCTGTGAATGGCCATGTGCCAGGGATGATGGAAGAAAGCCCTTGAAGTGAACTATTAATATTTCTATTAATCATCCCAAATGTTAGTTCCCATGGCTGCATCCCCACAGCACTGCAACTTTTTATCTAAGATCCTCAAATGTTTAAAATATAAAACCTACAAAGTCGGGCCTCCTGAGTTCCGACAGCTCATGACCATGGGGCGGAGGTTGGCCAACAGCCACCACAGCGCCAAATACACGGAGGGGAAGCAGTAACAGTCGAAGTGCATGTCCGGTCTTCTGCTCCTGTAGGATAACTGTGTCTTGACTCACAACGTGGACCAGAGAAACAGCGACCAAGATATCTTCGGGGATGCCTGTGACAACTGCCGGGATGTCCTCAACAACGACCAGAAAGACACCGATGGGGATGGAAGAGGAGACGCCTGCGATGACGACATGGATGGAGATGGTGGGTTTGGCTCGTTTTGTAACGGATTGGGGACTCTGGTCCTTTTGCCCTGTTGTCTTTGAGGAGCAGGAATAAAATTTCCGACTCGGAGGGCCTTCCTAGTGGAGGTTGCATGTAGCCTGCTTCTGGGGACCCGAAGTCCACCTGTGTCTGTGGAAGGAGACTCCACAGCCCACGGCCCTTGTTAAGAACCTGGGTGTTTCTGGAACTCCACATCATTGCCAGAAACCTTTTAGGAAATGCTCCTAGCAGTACCTCGTCAGGGCGGTGTCTCTGTAGGGCAGGGGTAGGGAACCTTCGGCCCATGGGCCGTTTAAGGCCTGTTACATAATTTGGGCTGGCCCTGCTTGAGGCATTAGGGTTGAGTTAATTAAATGTTTGACCAAATATAGCAGGCTAAATTTTTTTGTTGTTCTTAATCCTCACCTCAGGATATTTTTCCATTGATTTTTAGAGAAAGTGGAAGGGAGCAGGAGAGACAGAGAAACATCGATGTAAGAGAGTCATGTCAATTGGTTTCCTCCCTCATATGCCTCTGACCGGGGCCAGGGATTGAGCCTGCAACCAAAATATGTGCCTTTGACTGGAATCAAACCCAGAACCCTTCCATCCCAGGGCTGACGCTCTATCTGTTGAGCAAAACTGGCTAGGGCTAGCAGGCTAATTTTTAAGCTGATAATTTTGTATGGCTGGCAAATGTTATAAATATCCAAATGGCCCTTGGCAGAAAAAGGTTGACCACCTCTGTTGTAGGGTATCTATCTTTCAGATTATACCTTTCCCCACTCCCCCTCTGTTCTTGTGTGTTCCCTCCCTCCCTCCCTCCCTCCCTCCCTCCCTCCCTCCCTCTCTCTCTCTCTCTCTCTCTCTCTCTCTCTCTCTCTCTCTCTCTCTCTCTCTCTCTCTCTCTCTCTCCATCCTTTGACCTTACCTCCAGATAGCTGCTGAGAAAGTGGTGGCTCTCTGAGGATGGCCCACGCCTGTGAAGGCCTGACCTCTCAGCCCCCGGAAGTGTGTGTCCCAGACCTGTCTGTGCTGTTCACCTGACTCAGGGACGCATTCCTTTCTCGTAGGAATAAAAAACATTCTGGACAACTGCCAGAGAGTTCCCAATCGTGACCAGCAGGACAGGGATGGCGATGGCGTGGGGGATGCCTGTGACAGTTGTCCTGATGTCAGCAACCCTAACCAGGTCAGTGGGACATAGGGGAACTTGAACTCTTGGCTGAACTCCTCTGTGCAAAGATGCCTGAAAGACCAGTGCCTCGAACAAACAGCAGAGCCCAGCAGCTCAGTTCTTTGCTGTTGCCATATACCTACCGAAGCAGAGGTATATACTGGAGCTGGCAGGGGGGATAGGAAGACCATTACAGGAGATCTGAGCCCGTCTGGACTAATCGCACTGGCTGTAGGGTGCCTGTGAGGTTGGATTATGCGTTTAATGATACTCAAACCATGACATGGAAATTAACCGTGGGAAACCTTGTGTCCCGTTAGTCCCCGAACCCCTGCATGACTATGAAGGGACATTTCAGATTAAGTTCAGTTGGTGACCTGCTGTTTCCCTTCCCTCTCCCCCTTCCTGTCTGGATAATTGGGGGTGATGTGTCATGTATTTTAAAGCCTGAGAGAGGGGGGTCATTGTTGCCCTCTGCAACTTGCTTTCGCTCTGGCTCAATTCCAAACGGCAGAAGCAAAGCAAAGCCGGCTTGCCTTGTCCCTGTGCCTCTGGCTAGCTCCCTTCCGACCCATGATAGGGCTCCATGTCTCCACCTGCCACCAGGCGGCCCCGGCACCCTTCTGATCAGCTCATCTGGTGTGTGGGCAGCCCAGCCGTGGAGCCTGATATTTTGGAAGGTTTTCCTGAAAATTCCGCATTGTGCCTACACCAATATGGTGGTGTCCTTTTGCAGTTTTACACAGTCCTGACTCGAGAGAAATAATCCTGAGACCCAGTGATGATGGGCCGGGTCTGCCTTCTCCGGGACATTCTGTGCAGCAGGCCCAGGGATAAATAACATGCTCTGTTCTCTTTCCAGTCTGATGTGGACAACGATCTGGTTGGGGACTCCTGTGACACCAATCAGGACAGGTAGGGGGCCTCTCCCAGCTGCACAGGGCCAGAGGAAACATCTGGAGGGTTTCACCCTTCAGAGCTTTCTGCTACTGTGGGATCTCTCTGGGTAGATGGAGCTGCTGGCGGACGGTAGCCCTGACACAGCTCAGGGCCACTTCACTTCCCTGGAAGTTGTGTATTAGGGGGTGATGGTATCAGGAGTGCCCCTGCACTCTAGCAAGGGCAAGCTGATTACGGGAGAGGCAGTCTAGTGTCATACTTCAGAGGATGGGCTCCAGAGTGACACAGCCAGATACAATCCCACTTTTCACTTACAAACTTAGGCAAGTTACCCAATCTTTTGCACCTCAATTTTCCCATCTATAGAATGGGGATGACAATAGCATGTAGTTCATAGGACTGCTGTGATGATTACTTAGAGAAAAGTGCACACTATAGTTTCTGTTGCAAACAGATCTATCTAGCACTCAATAGATACTGGTTCTTCTACTATTATATTCTCTCAGCTCTGGAGAACTTCACCCACATCCCAAAATAGAAAGTTGTCTGTTTGCTACAGGGCAGCCTTACCCAAGGACACATGTGTCTGGTCAAAAACCAACCAGGCCTGGCTAAAACCCCCAACCCAGACTCTGCCTCCTGAGAGCTGGACCCTTGCTGCCCTGTGACTCCAACTGCCTCTCCTTCCTCCCACAGTGACGGAGACGGGCACCAGGACACCACAGACAACTGCCCCAACGTCATCAACAGTGACCAGCTAGACACCGATAAGGATGGAATCGGTGACGAGTGTGATGACGACGATGACAATGACGGCATTCCAGACCTGGTGCCCCCTGGACCGGACAACTGCCGGCTGGTCCCCAACCCGGCCCAGGAGGACAGCAACAGTAAGTGGGCTCAGCCCGGGACCGCACGGGACTCCCGGGCTCCCTTCAGACAGCACCAGGTGGCACACCTCTCCCAGGGAGCCCGCTTCTCTGAGTAGCCACAGCTCGTGTGGACACTAGACGTCTGGTAGTTTCCATTCTCCAGCTGTCGGAGAAAAGCTGCTGTGCAATTCTGAGGAGCCCTCAGAGGAAAGCATGTTGGCAGGGAGCAGCCACATGCTCCTGCTCAACGAGCCTGGAGAGCTCTCTGCTATCTCACTCCCCTCTCCCGGACTCATAGACAAAGAGGAAAGAGAGAAGGCACAGCAGCCAATGGCTTAGGTGGGGTCACAGATGCAGATGTCTGCAAGGGTCAAACCAATAAGGAAAGGTGTGCATCAAGCCAGAAATGAGACAGCAGCAAGGGACTGTGGTGAGCCATGAGGGCCCACCCACCCACAGCTATGCAGATTCCAATAAATTAGCACCATCAGCTGAACAAAACATACTCTGGGCCAGATTCAGTCTCAGAACCACTTAGAGATAAATTCTGGTGACAATATCCATGCTTTTTATAATTAGGAAGTTGTGTAAGTTCTATAGGCATTTGCTTATATAGGGTCAGGCTTAAGACCCACCAGGTGGTGAACCCCACTGTTCTCAGAGGACACCCAGGGTTGCTTGTGAGGCCTATTTTGAACAGTTCCTTCACTGAGTCCCAAGTAAGTTCTTTTGTCACAAACAGTGGGTTCACCAACTCAGCACCAGGACTGCAGGGTGGGCGGGAGCAGGCTCAGACGTGGCTGATGTCAAGGCCTCCTTTCCCACTGGGTGGGCAGCCCTGTCCTGGGGTGGGCCTTGGGCTTCTGTTCCTTGTCCAGCCCCTCTTCTCTTCAGGAGTGGTGGTGGGTGCCAGCCTTACAAGTTCCCTTCTCCCTCTTCCACCCCGCTCAGATGACGGCATAGGGGACCTCTGTGAGACAGACTTTGACCAGGACAAGGTCATCGATCGGATTGACGTCTGCCCGGAGAATGCTGAGGTCACCCTGACTGACTTCCGGGCCTACCAGACAGTGGTCCTGGACCCTGAAGGGGATGCTCAGATCGATCCCAACTGGGTAGTCCTGAACCAGGTGAGTCACATGATTGCCAACATCTCAGCTTTGCCTGAACAGACATAGGCCCTAGTAGGTAACGTTTAGAGTAGGGGTGTCGAACTCAATCAGAGAAGGGGCCAAAATCTAAAATCCAGCCTAAATCGCGGGCCGAATGGTTTACTGAACAGTCATAAACTGTCATTGTGATGGAAACGCAGCAGAGTGCAGTGATGACAGCGTGGTGCGGGCCACATTGCAAGGCCTGGCGGGACGGATTTGGCCCGTGGGCCTTGTGTTTGACACATGTGGTTTAGAGAGTGCAAAGCCAGGCACATTCCTCATCACAGCTATTCCTCACAAGGCTTTATTGAGTCAGCTTAAGGGACAGTTTTAGCAAAATTATTTCTATTTGGCTTCAAGCCCAAACAAAGAAGAACAATCCCTCAGATAATGCAGTCTCTACATGGAGGTCAGAGGTCGCTGACCGCTCGCCCATGGGGCCTGAGGTTTGGGGCTCACTCTGCCCCTTTGAAGAATGCTCCTCACTCCTTCAACTCTCTCCGCAGGGCATGGAGATTGTGCAAACCATGAACAGCGACCCTGGGCTGGCAGTCGGTATGTCCCGGGCCTTCAGTACCACTTGTGTAGAATCCATTCTTCCCAGCTACCCGTGTGGCTTTGTCCGCTTTTCTAACTGTATTCTGATCTCCACAGGATACACGGCTTTCAATGGAGTTGACTTCGAAGGGACCTTCCACGTAAATACCCAGACGGATGACGACTATGCCGGCTTCATCTTTGGTTACCAGGACAGCTCCAGCTTCTACGTGGTCATGTGGAAGCAGACGGAGCAGACGTACTGGCAGGCCACCCCCTTCCGGGCCGTCGCAGAACCTGGCATTCAGCTTAAGGTATGGGTCAAGTCACTCATCTCAGTTTATCCTGCGCCCTCATCCTCCTTTTGAATTCCATGGTCTTCCCTGTGGCAATGTTTGCATTCATGCTAGTGTTCAAGTCAGGGAACAGTCGAGTCCACCCGGGTCCTTGCCTATGTACGAGCCACATTCTAACTTCCAGATGGCTCTAGCGGTGGGACCGTCAGTCTGAGCAGGATCCCAGAGGTGGAGAAGATTTAGAGGTATATCTCAGGCACACTATTGGGAACTGTTTCCTCGGTGTGGCCTCCTTCATAGGGAGGGGCTGAGAGCTGCCTCTCCCTCCTGCTGGAGAAAAGACATATTTCAGAACCTTCTTGGGGCAAATGTGGGGAGCAATGGATGGATAGCAGGAAAAATATGGGATGGGTGAGTGGAATATTAGACAGCGCTGGTTTTTAAAGGGCTAGGATCACCTCAGTAGAAATGGCATCCTAAGGATTTATGCTTTTGTCCAAATCCAGGGCAGCCAGATTGTAACCATGAACTCACTCACTGCCCCGTCACCACCCCACAGACCCAGGAAGGGTGGCCTGTGTGTTCTGTCCTAAAACCCTGCTCCTGTCCCTGTCCAGGCTGTCAAGTCTCAGACAGGTCCCGGGGAGCATCTCCGGAATTCCCTGTGGCACACCGGGGACACCAGCGACCAGGTCAGGCTGCTGTGGAAGGACTCGAGGAACGTGGGCTGGAAGGACAAGGTGTCCTACCGCTGGTTCCTGCAGCACCGGCCCCAGGTGGGCTACATCAGGTAGGCGGACCGCCCTCTCAAAGCACACCCTCATTCTGCAGCGCAGGCCAGGCTTTCTGAGACCTTGGGCTGTGGCTCCCTAAAAGAGGTGGGAGGAAGACTCAGGCCTGACCGGGTGGCTGCGACTCCACCCACACCTCCCGCGATCCCCTGCGCCATCCCCCACTTGTAAATGTTTCACACTGCCGTGAGTCCTTTAGAGTCTGTCTTTCCTCCTGGACATTAGCTCCACGAGGGTTGTGCCTGTGTCTTATTTCATCTTGGTCTACCAGCGCCTGGCATGTTCCACATGCGGCGTACACGGGTCTTCATGTAAGTCCGTGGTTCTCAACCTTCTAATGCTGTGATCCTTTAACACAGTTCCTCAAGTTGAGAGCTGCTAGCAGGGTCGATCAGAAAACACAGATATTTACATTACAATTCATTAACTGTAGCAAAATTTCGTACAGTTATGAAGTAGCAACGAAAATAATTTTATGGTTGGGGGTTACCACAACATGAGGAACTGTGTTAAAGGGTCGCGGCATTAGGAAGGTTGAGAACCACTAATGTAAGTCAATGTAATCTGCCTTATTTCCCTATAGGGCTATTTTTAAAACAAACTAAAAACTATTCTCAGAAGCTAGGACTATAGCTATGGAATTTAGACAGTTACTCACTTTCTCATTCCTCCAGCTTATGCTGTGTGTTCACGAAGCAGCATGGGTTACAGCCTTCTGATACAGCAGCCTAGAGGGAAAAGGAAACCATGAGGCCAATTCTTCGAGACTTCACATATAGAATGTGCTGTTTGTCTCACAATCACATGGTCTTATTCTCAGCCCTGTTAAGTCCAAGGCCCCTTTTTTATAATATATTTTTAACCATCTCTGTCTCAAATGGAATCACAGAAAACATAACCTGCACATATAGTTTTATAAAAATCAATTTGATCCCTAACGATAGAAAAATACTTTACAACCAAATGATGTAAATGCTTGGACCTTATCACACCAAAACACAGAGAGAGACGTGCACCCATTCCTAGAATCACTGTGTAGGTGACATTCTAAAATGGATTGTGGTGTTGGTGACTTCACTATTACAGTGGTGATGCCAACAGGAATGTGAATTTCTAAAATGGTAAACAGCCTCTTTTTTCATCTTAATTTTTCAATTACAGTTGACATTCAACATTATATAGCATAGTATAACATAGGTGTGTGGTACAGTGGTTAGACATTTCTATCATTTACGAAGGGAGCTCCCCCATAAGCCCAATTGACACCATACATGGTTATTACAATATTATTGACCATATTACCTATGTTGTACTTTGTGACTATTTTGTAACTGTAACTACTCTCTACCTTGGATCTGTACTTCTTAATCCCTTCATCTTTTTGTCCTGCAACCATCAGTTTATGTATTCTATATCCATGAGTTTGTTTTTTAATATATTTTTATTGTTTTCAGAGAGGAAGCGAGAAGGAAAGAGATAGCAACATCAGTGATGAGAAAATCATTGATTGGCTGCCTCCTGCATGCCCCTACTGAGGATTGAGCCCACAATCTGGGTATGTGCCCTTGATCAGAATCAAACCCAGGACCCTTCAGTCCACAGGCCAACGCTCTATCCACTGAACCAAACCAGTTAGGGCCATGAGTTTGTTTTTGTATAGCTTTAACTCAACAGTTTCTCAACTTGCCTACACAAAACAGTTTATTCTTGTATTATTTATTAGTAACTATAAACCAACTTTTGCCCATCCCTGTATTAAAACAGTGCAAAGAATACATGTTCTGTAGTAAAAAAAAAAAAAAAAAAAAAAAAAAAAAAAGTCGAAACTAGTTTGTCTCAGTGGATAGAGTGTTGGCCTGTGGACTGAAAGGTCCCGGGTTTGATTCCAGTCAAGGGCATGTACCTTGGTTGTGGGCACATCCGCAGTGGAGGGTATGCAGGAGGCAGCTGATTGATGTTTCTAACTCTCTATCCCTCTCTCTTCTCTGTAAAAAATCAATAAAAATATATATATTTTTTAAAAAGAACACATGTTCACAAGTAAAAGGGAGTTAGGATGTAGGCCTGGGTAATGACTAAGCAGGCTCCTCACCTACCTCCGTGTCCTCTAGAATGAAGGACAAGTGTTGCCTGCTCCCTCCGGGGCCTTGTAAGCAGCCCTGGCTTCATTAATGCCACAGTGACAGCATTTCTAAAGCCCTGCTGAAGGGAGTGTCGCTCCTAATGAAAGTCCCTGCCCGAGGTGCCACCAAAAGAAATGCATCAGGCCTAAGGACAGCAGCCTTTTTTAGGCATGGCGTCTCGCCAAGGTAACTCTCAGAACAGTGAAGCCACAGAACTTCTCGGTCCTGGGTCATACTGTGATTTCTCTGTAACTGGCTAACAAGTACCCATAGAATGTGTCTCTGCCCGGTGTCTTGTTAGACCTTTGGGGACACAAGTTTAAGGTGACCAGATGTCCCGCTTTTGGCAGGACAGTCCCGATTTTTAACTTGTCCTGCGTCCTGCGGTGTTTTTAAAAAAGTCCCAATTTTTTTAAAGATTTTTCCAAAAGCGGGATGTCTGGTCACCTTACACAAGTTGGGAAGACATGATCCCTGACTTCTAGCAGGGCAGGGGAATAGCTGGGGCACAACCCAGGTGTGTGAAAAACAGAACAGGAACAGGAGCAAAGATGTGCCTCAGGATGGGCACTTCACCTCACCTCGGTATGAGTTTCATGGACGTGCTCGGGCTGTGTTGTCCACAGGGTGCGCTTTTATGAAGGCTCTGAGTTGGTGGCTGACTCCGGAGTCACCATAGACACCACCATGCGAGGCGGCCGGCTCGGCGTCTTCTGCTTCTCCCAAGAAAACATCATCTGGTCCAACCTTAAGTACCGCTGCAATGGTAACGTACCTTCTTGTTACTGCGCAGTATCACTAGAAGTAATCCACTAATGCCGCCTCGTTTTTATGGCACACCTCCCTCCAGAAGCCCAAAGTTTATGCCACATATTTATTAAAACCTGGTCGTCCCTGTAAACGAAGTAAAGGGTAGATCTCACTTTTCCTATTTGATAGATGAGGACATTGAGACGCGTGGCATAGGGTTTGAGGTTCAGTGAGAAATTCGGTCAGGTTTAATTTTCAGGCAGCCTTCATTTGCATACAGCTCAAACATAATCAGACTCAACATTCACCCTGCCTGCGAATGAGCCCTCCTGGGCTTCAAGGCAATCGTCCCCCAAGCAGCCTAATGTAGGAAATGACTGCAGGGCCCGTTGGACAGGCTGACAGCGCTCCGTACAGGCCGCCTGCACTGGGCGAGGTGGAGCAGCATTCCGTGTGAGGACCCTCTCTTACCCCCTATGTCTGTTTTTGTTTGCAGACACCATCCCAGAGGACTTCCAAGAGTTCCAAACCCAGAATTTCGATCGCCTGGATAAGTAAACTCAAGAATCAATTCATAATTGCTTTTCCGAACACGAAAGCCTTATTTTCTTTAACTTCCTACATTTTCTTCATATATCCTGTGGCTTTCTTTTACCACCCCAAATGTATCAAACTTTTTATATGAACGTAGCAATAAAGAGGAGATAATTTCTAAAAACGGTGTCACGCAGTCATCACTTACACACCATCAGAGCCTGGGCCACAGGTAAGTTGTCCTGAGGCCTCCACATTGAACTTGCAAAGAGACCTTCGTTCCTCAGACCAGGTCAGGCAATAGGACTGAGCGTGTGTGGGAAACAAGGCCCAGGCCGAAGGTCTCATCTTTGAGCACTCCAGTTGACATCACACAGTTCCATGCTCACCTCAGCAGCCTCCTTACCTGGAAACGTGTTCAGAGGCACCTACATTCCCTAGGAAGATTTTTCCTGACCAATCCAGGGGCCTAATTCTTTCTAATACCATCCTCCACCCGCACAACAACTTCTATACCACCAGCAACAGTTAAGCTTATTTATATATATATATATTTGGCTCCCCCTAGTGGCACCTAAGCTTATTGAGCATAAAGGACAATCGGTAGACCCAAATGCCTAACAGTATAGCCACTGGGGATTGATTCTAGGACTCCATGTATATTCCCAAATCTACAGAAGCTCAAGTCCATTATATAAAATTGCAAAATATTTGTGTAATGTAAATCATCTCTAGATTACTTATAATACCTAATGCAACATAAATCATTGTTATACTGTACTAGGGAATAATGATGTACTAGGGAATAATGATAAGAAAAAATGTCTACCTGTTCAGTTCAGACCCAACCATCATAGGCCTAACTACATAGGACATATCAGCAACAATGTAACTCTCCTTCCTCCCTCCCCCTCCCCCATACTTTCAATCTGGGGTTGATTGAAGTCACAGATACAGAATTTATGGATACAGAGGGGTGACTGTACCTGTCATGTGGTAGATATCCAGTAAATGTTGGCTGCATGGATAAATGCCTCAAATAACAAGGACAATGGTGTAGATGAATCACATAAGCCTTCCTACAATGTAAAAAGCTGCTCCCAACATATGCTTAGCTATGGTAACATCAGTAGCATCACTGTATGTACCGGGCAGAAACTTGCCTCATTTGTGTGCTAGCCTTTCTTCCACTCCATTTGTAAGGCAAAGATCCAAGCCAAGTTTTATAAATTCTTTAAGAATTTTGTTTCAAAGAATATTGCTGGGTAGTAATATTGTCTCTCCTATTCCAATTCCTGGAAGTATCATAAGTCATAAATAAAGGATAAACACTTTCACCACAGTTTCATCATTTCAACAAGTCAGAAAACGCAATGGCATATGGAGGATTTTACAATAGAACACACCCCCTCATATGTAAAACTTACAAGTATATGCTGACTCAGTTCGGGACATCTGATCTCCTGCATCACAGTCTTCATTGAAACAAAATAGATGGACCTAGAACAGTGGTTGGCAAACTGTGGCTCCTGAGCCACATGTGGGCGCGCACACACAGTGCGATTGAAACTTCATGGCCCATGTGCAGAGGTCGGTTTTCGGCTCTCAAAAGAAATTTAAATCGTTGTACTGTTGATATTTGGCTTTGTTGATTAATGAGTTTGCTGACCACTGACCTAGAGGGTATTATGCTAAGTCAGACAGAGAAAGACAAACACTGTATTTAACTAATGTGTAGAATATTAAAAATAAATTAATAAGCAAAACAAAAATAGAAACAGACCCATAGATATAGAGAACAAGCCGACAGTTGTGTGTGTGTGTGCGCGCGTGCACGCGCGGGGGGGTGGGGGTGGGGAGGAGGGATAAGATGGATAGGAAAAAAATTAAATGATTTTTAAAAATAATAAACTAGCCGAAACCGGTTTGGCTCAGTGGTAGAGCGTCGGTCTGCGGACCAAAGGGTCCCAGGTTTGATTCCGGTCAGGGGAATGTATGTTGGTTGCGGTCACATCCCCAGTGGGGGGTGTGCAAGAGGCAGCTGGTAGGTGTTTCTCTCTCATCGACATTTCTAGCTCTCTATCTCTCTCCCTTCCTCTCTGTAAAAAATCAATAAAATATATTTTTAAAAAATAAAATAAATAATAAACTCCATAGTTGAGTTCTTCAGATGGATGGCAGAGCTCAGTCCCTTCCAACATTGCCATGAAAAGTCACAGCTCCAGTGCAAAGTACCCCAGAAAAAGAATTCATTTCACTCCTTTATCTAACCTGTGCTCAGCACACAAGTCTCCCCTTCACTAAGTTTAAATTACTAAATAACACCAAATTTGCACATTATAAAACACAATAGAAAATCACTGTTGGGAGCTTGTGTATCCGAGAGAGAGAGAGAGAGAGAGAGAGAGGGGGGGGGGGGGGGAGATCTCTTGCCACATTTTGGGTTGTTTTTTTCCTAAATATTCATTAATTGCTTACTTTATAGCACCCCCTAGAGCAAACCACAGCAGACAGCCAATGTCTAAAACAAATGTATAGAAAGGAAATTTTCATTGCAAAGTTTTCCCATGAGTGTGTGTGTGTGTGTGTGTGTGTATGTATGTGTGTGTATGTATGTATGTGTGTGTGTGTGTGTGTGTGTGTATATATATATATATATTTCCCACTAGTATATTTTAATGAGTTATCCTCACACAAGTCCATCTGCTCCCACCAGAATTCTGAGGATCAGGGGTTAAGAATTAACATCTCAAAAGTCCCTTCAGTCCGGTAGTTTCAACGAGCTCCTGGAGGATTAGGACTATGCAATATTCATCTCCATACCCCACCCTCAGCCCCTCAATCCAGTATACATATGTTGATTGGAAAAACCAAGGCACAAGATCAATAGTAGAAGGTTTCAAATTCTCCAAAGAATCCAGTAGGGGGCAGCAATCCCTTAAAAATAGCCCTATTCTCAAAGTCACCAACAAGGTTAAATGAATGTTATTTCTACCACCCCAGTCTTTTTGTTTTTGTTAATCCTCACCTGAGGATATTTCCCCATTGCTTTTTTAGAGAGAATAGAAGGGAGACACAGAAAAACATCAAACTGAACATTGATTGGTTACCTCCCACGTGTATCCTCAGGGCTGGGTGGTGGAACCTACAATTAGCCTCGAACCCAGTCCATGGGCTGAAACTCTATCCACGCAATCAAACCGACTATGGCCCACCCCAGCTTAATCAGCAATGAAGAACAGTCTCACAGCTGATGGGCTGAATTGACTGTTTAACAGTAAAAAAAACTGGTTAACGAGGACACCGCACTGTAAAATCTTCAAAAAGAAAGGAGAATGTTTTGTGGACCATTTGGGATGTTTCAGTGTGTGTGTGTGTGTGGGGGGGGGGGGGGGGGAGTTTTAAAGCTATTAGTTTTCAAAATCAGTACCTCTTAATGGAAACAACTTAACCAAAAACCTGTCACAGAATTTTGAGATCCATTAAAATAAAATTTAATGAGAAAAGGAAAATAACCCTATTCTGAACAAGCTGTGCTATTTCAGCTGAGATGATTTCTAAAGTTTATTAAAAGTAAAACAATGACTACGATGTATTAAAACACTTCCACTACCCCTAGCACTGTGCCAACTGCTAATCGTTCAGTGCTTAAGAACTCATATTTACCAAAACATACAACTAACCAAACAACAGCCACCACCCACAAAACAACCTAATTTGAATTATTGTGAATTATTCTCTGAGTGAACACTGAAGCCTCATTTTCTTTAGGAATTGTCTCTTTCCGTGTCCCTCCACCTAAAATTCCCATGATAGTCTTCTGTGAGAGCCAGGCAAAGATCTATTCAGCCATCGGTTCATCATTCATTCATCAAACACACACTGAGCATTACTCTGTGCCAGGCCTTGTGCTGGGCCCTGGGAGGCATCCAAAAAGGTACACATAGGCCAGGCTTCTGGGTGAGGGAAAACATATTTTCATTCTAAAACCGATCATAACTGCAAAAGTACCATTTATTTTAAAATTGGACCTCTAGCCCTACCCAGTTTAGCTAAGTGGATAGAGCAGTGGTCGGCAAACTCATTAGTCAACAGAGCCAAATATCAGCAGTACAACAATTGAAATTTCTTTTGAGAGCCAAAATTTTTAAACTTCTTCCAACGCCACTTCTTCAAAATAGACTCGCCCAGGCCATGGTATTTTGTGGAAGAGACACACTCAAGGGGCCAAAATCACAGCAGTTTGCCGACCACTGTGATAGAGCATCTGCCTGTGGACTTAAGGGTCCCCGGTTCGATTCCGGTCAAGGGCACAAGCCCGGGTTGTGAGCTTGATCTTAAGTAGGGGGCGTGCAGGAGGCAGGCGATCAATGCATCTCTCATCATTGATGTTTCTCTCTCCTCCTTTGCCCTCTGAAATCAATAAAAATATATTTTTAAAAAGGAAATTAAAATTGGACCTCTAGATACCTTCCCACTGACTCTATTTATAAAGCATTTGTCTATTAGAGCCCCCACTTGCTTAATCCTGAGAGTTTGGGAGGTTTTTGTTGTTGTTGTTGTTGTTTTTTATCCCCACCTGAGGATGTTTTTATTGATTTTTTATTTTTTTATTTTTTTTAATATATTTTATTGATTTTTTTACAGAGAGGAAGGGAGAGAGTTAGAGAGCTAGAAACGTTGATGAGAGAGAAACATCAACCAGCTGCCTCCTGCACACCCCCCACTGGGGATGTGCCTGCAACCAACGTACATGCCCTTGACCGGAATCGAACCCCGAACCTTTCAGTCCACAGACCGACGCTCTACCACTGAGCCAAACAGGTTTCGGCTGATTTTTTATTTTTTTAGAGAGAGAGGAAGGGTCGGGGATAGGAGGAAAAGAGAAAATAGGGGCAGAAAACATCGCTCAGTTGCCTCTCATACATGACTGGAGCTGGAGGGCCCCGACCGGAAATCTAACCCAAAACCTTTTGGTGTAAGGGACATTGCTCCAGCCAGCTGAGCTACAAGGCCAACCCTGACACTTTCCAGCTGGGTCACAACAGCCTTGTCCTAAGTCCCACCAGGAAGAACCATTTTCAAGGCCACAGAGCAGCTTCCCAGGCCAGCAGGGGGGCTTGACAGAATGAGTCAAAAACCGTTTGGTCTGCACAGTGTTTTCATTCTTGTAGGGTTTTTGTT